CTGAGCGACCTTCAACTTGTGGACCAGCCGTGCCGTCAGTGTCCACGTTTCGGCTCCGTATGTCATAACGGGTAGGACGCACTGATTAAAGACTTTTGTCTTTAGGCACTGCGGGATCGACGATGTAAAGACCTGACGTAGTTTCCCAAACGCTGCCCAACCTAGCCGAACTCTTCCATTTACCTCGCTCTCGAAGTTGTTTCTACCTAACTGCAATGTTTGCCCGAGGTATACATATTTTTGAACAATTCCGAGAACGGCACCGCACACTGCAATCGGTTCCGGTAGTACGTGTTCGTTGAACATGACCTTGGTTTTATCCAAGTTCATCCGTAGGCCGATGCGCATAGAAGAGTCAGCCAGGTCATTCAGCATCTGTTGTAGGTCCTGCAGATTTTCTGCCATGATGACGATGTCGTCAGCAAATCTCAGGTGAGAGATGTACTCGCCATTGATGTTGATGCCACGTCCTTTCCAGTTCAGCGTCTTAAACATATCCTCCATTGCATTAGTAAACAATTTCGGAGACATAACGTCTCCTTGTCTCACTCCTCGATGCAACGGTATAGGACTTGTTTGCTGATTCTGTACTTGGACGGTCATGGTGGCGGCCTCATAAATACATCTTATCACTTGGATGTATCGCCAATCGACTTGGCATCGCTGCAGGGACTCCAGAACGGACCAGATCTCAATCGAGTCAAAGGCCTTCTCATAGTCCACAAATGCTAGACACAGGGGCTGATTATACTCTTCAGTCTTCTGTATAATCTGCCGCACTGTGTGGATGTGGTCTATGGTGCCGTATCCACTCCGAAACCCAGCCTGCTCCGGTGGTTGGAATTCGTCAAGTCTTTGCGCAAGACGGTTCGTGACTACTCTAGAAAACAGCTTATAGACGTGGCTTAGAAGGGAAATGGGTCGATAGTTCTTCAGCAGGGTTTTGTCTCCCTTTTTGAAGAACAGGACGACTACACTCCTACTCCACGCCTGCGGAGTTCTCCCTTCGAAGAGGACGGCATTAAAAAGCTTTTGGAGCTCCTTTAGCACCGGTTTACCTCCTGCTTTTAATAATTCAGTTGTAATGCCATCCTCTCCAGGGGCTTTTCCATTTTTAAGCTGTCTCAGAGCGATCTCGATTTCGCCAATGCTGACTTCTGGCAGATCTTCGGTGTAGTGGCGTGTTAATGTGGCTCTAGAATCCTCATTTCCGGGATCAGGTCGAGATGCATGCGAAGCGTATAACCGGGCATAGAAATTTTCCACCTCCGAGAGGACCGCTGGCTTCGAAGCAACGACTTCCCCGCTTGCTGTGGTCAACTTCGTCAAGTGGCTTCTTCCAAGAGATTGTATGAATACTTTTGACCCCCTGTTTTGCTCGATCGCTCTTTCTATAGCGTGAGTGTTGGAGCACCGGAGGTCATATCGTACGCGTTTGCTGATCTCCTGGTTTTGAGCACGTTTTCCTGACGAAGTGACAGGTGGGTTTTCACGTCGTTCCTTCATTAGCCCCAAAGTTCTATCGGAGAGCTTAGACTTCCCGCCCTTACGCTGCATGCTACAAAATTTCGTACCTTCTTCCCTGAGTATTCGAACCACATTTTCAAGGTTCTCGTCAACGTCAATTGTGGTTTCCATGGCAGCGAATCGGTTCTCAAGATTTGACTGAAACGTTTCAGATTCCATCATGGTTTGGAGAGGAGTAGGTCGGAGCCTGGCCTTCATCAAGCGGACACGTTCAGCTTTGAAGTCGATATTCAGAGAGCCTCGGACAAGTCGGTGATCGCTGCCGGTGTTAAACCTATTGATCACGGAGACATCTCTGAATACGTGCTTTTTGTCCGTTATAATGAAGTCGATCTCATTTTTTGTCACATTGTCGGGGCTTTGCCACGTCCACTTCCTTTGGGGCTGTTTCTTAAAGAACGAGTTCATAAGGAAGAGCCCCTCCCGTTCGAGGAAGTTAACGAGCATTTGCCCCCTATCATTCCTGCTTCCAAATCCATGGGATCCTACTACCGATTCGCCGCAATTTTGTACTCCCACTTTAGCGTTAAAGTCCCCCATAACAACGCTGTAGTGGGTCTTAGTAGTGAAGTGGAGTGCCCTCGATATATCATCGTACATATTCTCCACTTCATCGTCCGAGTGTGTCGAGGTCGGTGCGTACACTTGAACAACCTTGAGGCTATACCTCTCAGTGAGCTTTACAATCAGGTACGCCACCCTGTTCGACACACTGGAAATTTCTACAACGTTGTCAGAAAGGGACTTATTGACAAGAAACCCAACGCCACCTTGGGATTGTTGGTCTCCCTCGCGGAAGTACATTAGGTGGCCTGATTCGAGGGTTATGGTATCCTCCCCCTCTCTTCGGACTTCACACAATCCCAATATGTGCCACCTAATCTTTCCAAGCTCCACCTCAAGTTGAGCCAGATGCGAGTCAAGCCGGAGCGTGCGTCCGTTGTACGTCGCCAGGGTCAGTCGGTTGTGGTGGCCTCCCGTAGCCCGGAGATTCTTAGCACCCCCTGCCTCGCCGTTACCATGGTCGCCACCATGACCAGGAATAGCGAGGCCGCCGGGAACTAGGGGCCGTGGCCTTTTGTGCCTTTGCATTTGGGGGATATGCCCATAATCGCCACGCTGGGCAAGCGGGTTGGCGATCGCAGTATGGTCCAGTTCTGTGGCCCGCACAAGAAGACGCTGCTGCCCATCTCCTTGAGTTAAATTTCCCTTAGTCGCCTCTTACGACACCCACGGGATGAAAAGGGGTAGTACAATTCTATACCGGTACTACACGGTAGTATCCTAATTTAAAATTAGTGAATCCTTCAAAAGAAGATAAAGAAGCAGCTCAACATTAGCCTTAGCAAAGACTGGTTGGTTCTCTGATGTATTTATCTGTAGGAACTAGGCCAGACATTACACATGCGGTAAGTGTGTTAAGCCAGTTTAATTCTAATTATGGGACAATTCACTGGAATGCAGCAAAAAGAGTTCTACGATAATTAAAAGGGACAATGCATCTTAAACTCCAATTCCAGAAGAAAAATATACTCACACTTACAGGATATACTGATGCTGCTTATGGTGCATATTTAAAAGACCGGAAATCCTACACTGGATATGTATTTTATTTAAATGGACCTGTATTTTGGGAATCTCGTAAACAACGAACGGTCGCCTTGTCAACAACAGAAGCCGAATATATGGCACTTAGTGATGCTGCAAAAGAATCCATATATCTCAAAAACATATTGAAGGAAGTGTTTGGTTTGGATAATGGTGTCTGTAATTATAGGAATAATCAGGGAGCTCAACTGCTAACAAAAAATAACGTTCATCACTCACGAACAAAGCACATTGATTATAAGGGATACTGTTGCTAGTGGTATTATTCATCATCATCACTTCAGCCGAGAGACGCCCACTGCTGGACATAGGCCTCCCCCAAAGATCTCCAAAGTGATCGATCCTGCGCCTCCCGCATCCAGCGGCTTCCCGCGACCTTCACCAGATCGTCGGTCCACCTTGTGGGGGGCCTACCAACACTGCGTCTCCCGGTACGCGGTCGCCACTCCAGGACCTTACTGCCCCAACGGCCGTCAGTCTTGCGAGCGATGTGCCCTGCTCACTGCCACTTGAGGTTCGCAATTCTTTGGGCTATGTCGGTGACTTTCGTTCTTTTGCGGATGTCATCATTTCTGATTTGATCTCGCAAAGAAACCCCGAGTATAGCCCTTTCCATTGCCCTCTGAGCGACCTTGAGCTTCTTTATGAGGCCCATCGTAAGCGGCCACGTCTCAGTACCGTATGTCATCACTGGCAACACGCACGAATTAAAGGCCTTCGTCTTGAGACACTGCGGTAGATGTTCCGAGAATACACTGCGTAGCTTCCCGAACGATGCCCAGCCGAGTTGGATCCGTCGATTTACCTCTCTCTGGAAGTTGGACTTACCTAATCGGACTATTTGTCTCAGGTAAACGTACTCGTCGACAGCTTCCAGTGTAGAGCCTCCAACATTCACTGGAGTGGGTACGATATGGAAGTTTGACATTATTTTTGTCTTCTCCATGTTCATTTTAAGACCTACTTGCTGGGAAACTCTACAAAGGTCTTCGAGCATTGTGCCTAGATCTTCCATGGTCTCAGCCATGACTACGATATCATTAGCGAAACGAAGGTGCGTCATGTACTCGCCGTTTATATTGATGCCAAGTCCTCTCCAGTCCAAAAGCTTAAGCACGTCCTCCAGTGCGGCAGTGAACAATTTCGGCGATATAACGTCGCCCCGTCTCACTCCACGCTGAAGTCGTATTGCTTTCGAGTTTTGGTCCTGGAGCCGAACTGACATGGTGGCGTTTTCATACAGTGACTGCAGCACTTGGATGTATCGATAGTCTATTTGGCACCTCTGGAGTGACCTAAGCACGGCCCAGGTCTCGACGGAGTCGAAGGCTTTCTCATAGTCCACAAACGCCAAGCATAGTGGCAGATTATACTCTTCGGTCTTCTGTACAACCTGTCGCAGCGTATGAATGTGGTCTATGGTACTGTAACCTTTTCGGAAACCGGCTTGTTCAGGAGGCTGAAAGTCGTCAAATCTACGTGCGAGACGATTCGTGATGACTCTCGAAAACAGCTTGTACACATGACTCAGAAGCGTGATGGGTCTGTAATTCTTTAATTGGGCCCTGTCGCCCTTTTTGAAGAAAAGCACCATCACGCTCCTGTGCCATGCTTCTGGCGTCTTGCCCTCGAGTATGGCGAAATTAAATAGCTTCTGAAGCGATTTCTGGACTGGTAGTCCACCCGCATATACATATACATTTACTCTTTGAATTTCATTCGATATGTAGATATTTTTCGATATCGATATTGAGACAACATGATCACTAGCATAAGGGCTGTATGCAAAAAGTAGTATTATAGAATGCTAAAAAAGATTGTTTTCTACTACCTAATAGGTATTTGTTTTTTTTAATAAGTTGATTTCATTTATTAAAAAGTTAACCAAAGCAAATCTAAGAAGCACACACTTTAGGTATTCGATGAGAGCTACTTCAATTTTAAATTAAATGTCAAACAGGGCCTCTTAATTCGTGAATACTGGTTTCTATAAAATGATGTTTAAAAGTTTGTATGTGGCGGGCTCTATTGCGATACACTTTCACCCCGCGAGGTCAGCGGCGGTTCTTCGGGTACGATCGCCGATCAATGCCATTCCATTCGTCGGAGTCGCCAGTTCGTCGGTTTCCCCTTCGAATACTAACAGGAAAATGGTAATTTATAAGAATCATGATTATTTTTAATTCTAAAGCATAGTCATAATTACATAAAGTTAGATTTTTTTATGCAATATGTGAGTTATAAAAAATATGTTCATGTTTAACTAATTGTTTAGCTACTTATGTATCATGGATAACAATGGTTTTCATGAAAAATAGTGTAAAAAACCTTATATATTAATTTTATATCAAAAACTAATAAATATTTTATGTTATTAAACAGGCAGATAAATTAACTCAAGAGGAACGTGATACACAGCTACATTCCCTTCTCCAGAATGGGTGGAAATTACAAAGTAATCGTGATGCGATAGAAAAAGAATATCAATTTAAAAATTTCAATGAAGCATTTGGTTTTATGACCAGAGTAGCCCTCTTGGCTGAAAAAATGGATCACCATCCAGAATGGTTTAATGTTTACAATAAACTCCAGGTATGTTGATTGTATCATTTAACTTATGGTGTGCCCCACGATTTTGTAAAAGTCCGAACCCAAATTCTAATTCACTCAGGTGTCGAATTTCACTTCAAAAAGCGGCATCTGCTCAATCTTCAATTGGTAATAACATTTTGTGGTATAATTGAAGTGAGTTTTGAAATGACATAAAAATAGAATATCTGAGACAAGTATTTTTGATCAATTTTATTTTGTATTTTTATGCAAAATGTGGAATCGATAGAATGTCTACACTAAATGATATGAATTTGGACATAAGTGAATTTGAATTGGGTCTCGATTTTCAAAGAATCGCAGGGCTGGTCCAAAACTCATATTGTGATTACAGATATGAAATTAGTCAGTATTGTTTTTAAAACTAAAAATCCTATTTTACATTTTGTTAAAGCATTTACCTTCCCACAACCCATTTTTTAACATAACTAACACAACATTACATGGGATGTCCATATTATCTTTGATTATAGTAAATATATAGAATCTATTTTCATTTGGTCAGATATTGAGTAATTGATTTTATTGATTTTTTGTGTATGGAAATATAAGTTCCATTTCATTCAATAATAAATTATGTTTATCAATTACAGTTCTGATATCTTATGTGTTGTGTGACCACCACAATTTGTAGTGATAATTACCTTTATGGTTACTGCAATATGCCAAAGTTTTTTGTTTTATGTGAGGTTAGCTGTGTAATGAATTAACTAATGTCTTGTTTTTAGGTAACATTATCATCTCATGACGTCAATGGTCTAAGTAAACGTGACATTAAAATGGCAACATTTATGGATAAGAATTTCAGCTAAATTAACCATTACAAATGCGATCAAGGATAATAGATACTACATAAAGTTTTTGTTTAATATCCTGTTATGAATATTTTTAATTGGATGTCTATAACTTTTTATAAGTATAAATATATTTATTTGTCTATTATATTGTTTTTTATTTTGGTATAGGATTTTTCCTTATACAGTTTAAATATCATAAGGTTGTCTTTCTCCCTATTCAGAGAAAGCTTGAGCCCCAGCAGATATGATGTTAATAGTCCGGTGATGATGATGAAATTATTTTTGTGAAGTGTGGCTCTGACCTGTTAGAAGTTAGTCAAAAAGTAGATTCCAAGGGCATTACAGCATAGAATTTTTAGTCCTATAATGTCATTTATAATGTACATAATTTCATTTAACGCTTTGTTAAGTCTATACTCCGTTTCATTTAAAGTGGCACAAGACACAAGATGTAAACAAATATGGTGACATGACAGTTTTGTGATGGGACATATTATAATGAATTTTATTAATTGAACTATCTCATTCATATCATTCAGTGACTGACTTTTTCCATAAAAATTGTCTTAAATGAATATAACTATTCTCAGAGTAGTATAATATTTAATGAAATGCGTGTTAAAATCTCAGACCAAATAAAAAGTAAAGACGGAGTTCGCTGAACAACAAAGTGAAGCCAATTTTTAGCAATTGTAGTGTGCGTGCCAGTGTGACCATAGTCATTAAAAACACCCCAATAACTTAACGTTACGACGTTATAGAGTTAACGTTAATGCTATGTTATTTAATAATATAATGTAAATTCGTTTGTCAATATCAGCATATTGAAAAAGAAAAGGTGTATCAATAATAAAACTACTGTATATGTATAAAACTTGTGTTTGTATAAATTAAAAACCATTTACAAGTAAATAAAGCCTAAAGGCTTAGTAAATAAAGGCTTATTTTTTCTACTTTATTTCATGCTTCAGAAGTTATTTTACAATGGAATGTCTCTTATCCAATCAGTTAAAATGGATTGTTGTTGATATCCAAATGATGAGATCCAAAAATATTTCTTTAGTGGGCATTATTTTCAAGTATAGGTATTTCTTATTTTTAAGGGTTTTTAGAAACACTTAATGACTCAGTCATTTTTGCGAACGATATGACCAAGTCGATATGTTTGACTTACGGTATGTGAAGTAGAAGGCTGATTTGAAGCAAAAAATGATATGTCTGATACTGCAGTTGGGACCTTAAAGATAACAATCATATTAATCGACGCTAATATTTTACCAGAAATAAGGGAGATATTACAATTAGATGTGAATGATGTGTTGGTTTTAGTTGTTTTAACAAAAGAATAATAGTATTGTTTGATATTCTGAAATCTTTAAGAGTAGGTAATTATTATTGGAGGCCATACATAAGTATCAAATCAAATAATTTATTGGCCATATAACTTAGAAGGTTACACACGGCAAGTCTTATAATTAATTTTAAAGATAAGTTTGAAAACTTTCACTATGTTAACTAAAATTTTAATATATAGAAAGTTTGAAACTTTTGAGTTTTGCTTTATTCGACATAACCCTTTTATAGTATAATACATATCATCGCTCGTAAAATGAGTCGAACAAACAACGCTACGCGAAGTTGGATTTAATGTAGGTACATTCCGACTATTATGAATGACTGAAATCCACTTCTCTTTCACATTTTGATGTCGGTTTGGAAATCTAAAAATTAATGCAAACCCGTTTAGGAAAAATAAAGAAGTAAAAAATTAAACCCGTTTTTTATTTTTTACTTCCTTATTCTAACACTTCAATATCTGTGATCTGGATCTCTATGTAGCATTTTGAATTCAAAATTTATTAAATATCGTTTTCATACAACAAGAAACAAATACGTAACGTAATTTGTGTTTTGTTAGAAATAACGCGTTATAAAATTAAAGTTACCTGATTTTGGGGTAAATAATAACGTTTAACAATGGTAATATTTGGCTGAGGTTTTGTGTTCCAAGGAGTAACTTAAATTTTATTTTAAAATTACTGAAAATGTAAGTTTTCTCCAATATTTACGTGTGAAATGTGATTCCATCCTGCTTTTTATTATTTGAGGATTGGTTTTTACAACCTTTCACTTCACAATTCGGCATTTAGTAAGAAATTTTTGATTTTTTTTGTAACAAAACGTTCCGCACACTGTCGATAGTTAGACTGATAAGGAAGGCGTAGTTTCGTTATGTGTGTGTGCGTGAAACTGTGTACGAATACGCCGAGGCGTAGTTTTGTTGGCTTCACTTTTCTATTAGGCAAAATTCCGTCTATACTTTTTATTTGGTCTGAGGTTAAAATATTGAAAAATCCTTATATTATCATGACAACTGAATAAGTTTTCTCAATTAAATATTAAATATTAATTTAAAGAGACAGTTTATGGGAAATAAATATTAAGCGAAAATTAATTTTATTGCATTTTACTTCGTCGTTTGATCTCAGTTTCATAGTAAACAGAAAATTTACAGTTTAAATTTGCCAGTTTAAATGATACGACACAAATTTTATCATACAACAATAAAGTACTATAGAGCTTTTTGTTTGCTGATGAAATATTGTTCTTTAATGTTGATTAAAAATATTACTCCTTAATGCATGAAATTTATTTACATTAAAATTGACATTCTAGTCTGTCTGACTTTAAAATATAATCAAATAATGTTTTTCTGATCGCTGAACATTTTTATATACACAAATTTACTATCATGACAAAGCACTCACTTTCAGTGTGAAAAATTTTTTGACCGACTACTACTTTATGATATTTGTTTCTTGAGCGGGATAGCCTATCTTAAAAATACACCTTACCCAAATTTAGCTCAAAATTATACAGTTGGCAACCCTAGTCCAGACTGAGCGAACAAACGAACAACATGTGATTTGGCATTTGCTGCCACACGTTCCACATACGTTCAATTGTTTTTTGGGACACAATTGAACGAATGTTGAATTAAATTGAACGAATTGAGACGTTGTTTGGGACAATTTCCTTAGAAACAAACGACTAATTGGATGGCGTTTTTTCATTAAATATACGCACAATAACTTGAACAAAACTAAGTATATAAAATATTACAATGCAGTAGATTTTTCGTAGCAACAATTACTACTGTGCATGACACAAATTTTGAAATTAATTGTTTAAACTTTATTTTATTTATACGAATTTCACTGAAGATGTAAATTGGTTTAATAATTTTGTTTAGCATTCTTTTTTACGTCAAAGGCACTTTGATATATATTTACTACATAATACAATTTTGTTTATCAATTATTTCAATATGCCTGATTGAGTTGCTCTTTCAATCACTCGTTTATATGTTTCATCACTAGTTCTATTTTTTTCGAACTGTCAATGGTACGTCAATTGTTAGTTTAGATTGAATGTATTCTTTTCGTAAAAACTGTGTTTTTACTGCTTATTTCTCTAAAGTATCTTAGATGAATGATCATCAAAAGGCTTGAGGATTGCGGCATTAAATCGAGTAACCGTTTCTGTGGTGACATTGCATACAGGAGACCAGTTAATTTCAACTGCATCCCTCATCATAGCTCCAACATCCGATAGCGCGAAATTCCTCATGCAAAACTACCTCGGCTTAATTTTGGGGGGTTTAACATTATATACGACAACAGATTAGGTCATATCTGAAGAAGCCTAGCGCAGGCAGCTGGCCATATTTACCAACACGATCAAGTGAAGATATGAGTCTATATGGTCGATCCATGACGCATCACTAGCGAAATTATGATGTGTCCGACTGAGAGGTAGAATAGAAAAATTCGCGGACTCTATGATCGATCAAAATCTAATGTTATTGTTGATGTGACGCACTTTACGAAAGAATATTTCTCTGCAGTAGGTGAAACGAAACGTAGCAAACCGTTATTTTAGGGTCCAAATCGCGTTCGGGTAGTTATCATAGTACTATTTAAAAATAATCAGCCTCGCAATTAATTTCGCAACTTTGATTTTAATATTTAATTTCGTGATATAGAAAGAAGTGAAAAATAAGCTACATTTTGAGCTACATCATTAAACGGGTTAGTAAATTTTTAGTTCAAAATTGGACATGATTCTTTGTGGTTAGTAATTCCATGGACCATTAGCTAATAGGCATGTATCAAGTGTTCGGCAACTGTCAAATTAGCGATATTTGTTAGTTTCCTAGCAAGTTCTTAGCGATCTCCATGAGTTAGCGGCCGAATTCGGTAAGATCGGCAATCGCAAAATCTGTCGAGACCGCAGCCCTGTAGTAGAATCGTAAAGAGGAAGTTCCGATACTTCCACTCCCGACAATTTAATAGAATTCAATATATAAGTAAGAATGTAATGTAAATGTAAATGTAGTAATGATGTACAAGTTAATATGTATTAGTATATAAGTACCCAATGATAAATATATAATTTTGTGACATTATTATAAGACAGATATGACATTACAATGAAACGAAATATCGCCATAATATCGATAAGATGGCGCATATGGTATCCTATGGCAAGAGTTTAGCGGTCGCACCTCAGATGGCGGCGGCGGGCGCGGAACAAACTTCTAGCGATTGTTGAATATGTTTGTTCCATTGCATGACAGTCTGTATATTTTTTATGAACTAACAACTCTTAATTTAGTAATAAATTAACTTTTAATCATTACAAAATTCTTTTTCGGAGATAATTTTCACGCCAAATTCTGAGATTTGCAAAGTCACTGTGTTTCACGATGGTGCAAACTGACCAGTGTAATCTACTTTTTATATTAAGATTTTTTTTGAGTAAAAGCGAGAAAGGCACCTTTTATATGTTACCATTGTTTATACTTTATATAAACTCCACTTCTCATATTACTATAACATACTGATATATACATAGATAACTTTAGAAAGCTCTTGTACTTTTCTGAGTTGAGAATTTAAAGTTAAATCTGATGTTTTGAAAGGAAAGTGAAAGAAAGTGAAAGTTTATTTCATTAGACAATAAATTAAAATAACTTTTGAATAACACAGCAGGATTTTATTTTTGTTATATTATTTGCGTTATATAATCGATTTTCTAACATAACATGGACAGGTTCTCTTGTCATTGAAGGGTTCTGTCTCGAATACAGAGGTACAAGGATATGCTCGTTCAATGATTCTTTTCAATTCTAAAGCGTGTTCCAATCCTTTAGTTTCACACACGAGTCTTACCTGAAAAATTATGTCATAAGTTGGGATGCAATGATATATTAAAAAAGCGATATATATCGATATTTCGACGTCAAAAAATATCGATATATATTGATATCGAAGAAAGCAGTATCGAGGTGTCGATATCGAAATTGAAGCTAGTAGCAAAAAAACTGTTGTCTATAATTTGGAGGTAAAAAACACATTTTTGTTTGAGTCAAGTTGTATTGTGTGACAGAAATATATACGGATTTCATCAATGGTTAGAGACATTTTTGATGTTGATTTGTGACGTCACATAGGCTACTTGTTTCATTCTAATAAAAACATGCGAAAGTGACAATAATACAAATCACAGATGTATTCAGCTTTTTCCTCCTTAACTTGGTACATATTTAGTTCTTGAACCCGAAATAAGCGATTCGGTTATTGTAGCGGTTGACAGTTGTCATGCATTATTGTTATTGTTTACATTACAAATGTTACAGATTATGTCGCCTCAGAGTGGCCGACAAAGATTATTAAACAGACGTGCCACAATTGCAATAAACATAATTTCATAAAAATAGCGTTTATGTAAACTGTATTTAAAAAATACAAATGCCTAACATAATTTCTCTCTGTCTAGGCTAGGTTGTTACGTTGTCGCATGGTAGTATAGGGTATCGTGGCCAGGCCGTAGAATTTACCAATTCATAATGCGGCCGGCCATTTCATGAAATGGTAAAAAGCTTGCTGCCTACATCATGATGTGGCCTGGTCAGATCTATGAATATGGGTAGTTGGTCGTATGACTACTTCATGATGTGGTCAAGCATTAGTGGTAATATCGTTAAATAGTACATTAGTCTCAGTAAGATACGCTGATGACGCATTGTTTTTGTGATATATGTATTTTCATTTTTAGGTTATACAACGAATTAAAGAAAGTAGGGTGACCAAGTAACGGAAAACAATTATGTACTTGATTAAGAATAATGAGATAATTGTAGGAGTGTAGTGCGAAGGTAGAGCGACAAAGGCTGTTCTATAGTTTTATGAATGTGTCGCGATATTATGATAAATACAGGATTTTGACCTAACTCACGAGAATGATAAAAATATATTGGAGGATATAAAAGTTTTTAGATATGAATTGTACTAACTCTCCTATATTATTAATTACTGTAGCTCACGTGATAGGTTAGAAAATTAAGACGATCATGTGCGTATTTCGTAATTTTTTCAGACAACAAAATTATAATGCTACCTTATAAAGAAGTTATTTGAGCAAATAATTAGATTTCTTTTTTGGCTACCCATATAAATGATGCGACCAAACGTGGATTGCCATATCATTAAACATTGATGCTTAAACTATATGTCGTTTGGTGTACATCTATTTCAACCATTTCATGAAATGGCCCATCGAATCATGAAATTATCAATTCTGCGATAGAGCCACGACATGTATAAAGCAAAATTATGAATTTAAATTAGATTTTGCCTGCTACTTTCTTGTTTTCATCGATCTCTATACCATTTCAGTACTGTAAGTTCCAGTAGCGTAGTTTGCTTCGGAGGGGCCCTGTATCAAAGTTAGTCGGGGGCTCATATGAAGGCCATAACATTTGATTAAAAATTGATTGGATTTTTAATTAAATCCAGGCCATAATAAAGATAAGATGGCGACGTCCTAAAAGAGAATTAAAATACTTCAGTTCATAAAAGTTCAAATAATACTTACCTCGACGTAGTAGACCTCGTCCTCCATCCACCATTTGTCTCTGAATTGACGTATAACGTTGTATCCTCCGTTGCAGAGGAGCTGCAGCAATTGTGCATTCGCCCTCAAGGTATTTTTTATTCCAACCTGATATTGAAATTATTTATGGATTAATAATGTCAGGTAGGTACGCGAACATGCACGTTCGTGTCTGCATCTCAGCATTCAGCCGTGACAAATATTTATCTGCATTTGCAACTAGTAGCAGAGGAGATTTGTGGATCGGGATGCGGTCTTGTCGTTTTATTGAGTACCTAAGTAGATATACCACGCAGCAATGCAAATTGATACAATCCAATAGCCACTAAGCGCAATGTAGGTCCTCTCTCGATAGAATTGTGTAACTGAATTACTTTATGGAGGTTGGGCTATATTAGATATAGGGATGATGACTATTTTTTTTTCAGGTAGGTCATTGAAGAATATTAAACACGTTTTTTTTAAAATATGTTGCTTAATCAATAATTTTGTACATTTTCTACGAAGCTAGCCAGCAATGCGTTTCTGTAAAAATCCGCTCAGGCGAATTCAATCGGGTGTTTAAACTTTGAATTCACTTCAGAAACATAAATTAGAGTAGATCTATTGATTCCACTTTTTGTATAAAAATACAAAACAAGATTCATTGATTCATATGTGTCTCAGATATTCTAGCTCTATGTCATTTCGAAACTTACTTCACTTATGCCATGAGCGTTGATATCAATTCCAGGTTAAGTGGATGTCATTATTGAAGTGAATTCGGGTACCTGAGTGAATTCCAATTCGGATTTTTTACAGAATCAATTCTAAAAAAAATCTAAACTATTTTAATCTAAATAAGAATTTAAATTATTTCTTGTTAAATTAAATCAAAAAATATATATATATGATTCGATTTTTTTGTTTCCCAGCTTGCAAACCATCTGTGTGGACCTGTAAATGGCTTCCTATAGTCTATTTAATCGCTATGTATTTGTTATAGCTGTTGGTCTTCTCAAAAAGTCGTGAGAAGAGTCGTACTCTGGTACGACTCTTCTCACTGTGTGCTGGCTCTAAAGGTATTAGATGTAACTCATCAGCAGCATCAGATCACCCACGGTTGTTGATTGATACGTCTGATCTGGGGAGCGATTTTGTAAAAATTCGAATTCGAATTCACACACGAGTCTGAATTTCTACTGATTGAAATTCTATTGATTCCATATTTTGTATTAAAATACAAAACAAAATTGTTTGGTTATAAGTGTCTTAGGTATTCTATCACTATGTCATTCGAAACTCACTTCTGTTATGCCACGAAACGTTGTCACCGATTCAAGGTTGAGCGGATGCCGTTTTTGAAGTCAATTCGGACGCCTAAGTGAATTCGAATTCGGGTTGGGATTTTTAAAGAATCTCAGTGCAGATAGCTCTTTAGATTCGACGGCACAAAAGGATATCATGCTTCATACATAATAAAAACAACCTGTAGTATCACTCACTCTAAATAGCACCAAGCGGCCCTCTGCAGACATTCCTCTGTCTATGCAGCGGGTGAGCGTTATTTGGTCTATGTTTCCGCCACTCATAATGCAAACCACGCTATTAAAATATAAGGAAACATATTTTGTAGTTATTTAATATTATGTAGTAGTAATATAAAATCCGCCAAATGCAAGTCGTAACGTACCATTATGCATTAAAAAAATATAATGACTTTTGTAGATTTCTAGGAAGTTTGAAATTTTCAAGTTCAATACAATTATTAGTCGTAAACTTGTAAAGCCAACATAAGGGTGATAGTTTTCTTTTTTAACTTCGTTATATAAGGTAGTACTGCTGTAACATGTGTAACGTAACCGATAAATTTTTAGTTGGCATAAGGGGGGAAACTTGACTCTTACGAAAATTTGCTCTTTAAAGTTTAATAAGTCACAAACGGTTTAATTAATGGAAAAGCAGCCTTCCCACACTTCCAATGTTTTTGAAAGACCTATCCAACGACGCCCCACACTGTGGAGAATACGAAAAAAAAAACCCATATTATATATTTATAAATTTTACTTTACCATTTTGTCGGCATAATTAACGTGTATACTCATGCCAAATTACAACTTTCTAGTTTTTGATCTTAACTGTGGACGGACGGACATGGTGTAACTATAAGGGTTCCTTGTTTACTACCTAACCCTAAAAAAGGAGTTATTTATGTATATTAATTTAAGCAGATAAGGAAAAGAAACGGGTAGAAGATATGAGTTTTGGACAAAACGCAGTGAAATCAGAAGACACAAATATGAGGCTGGTGGATTTGGAAAGTTTGGTTAGTCAGAAAAAAATTATACGTATGTACTTCTTGATTTTTAGTTCAGGAACCAAATTGCCGATGATGGCGGCGAGTGGGCACGCTCCTGCACCTTCCATAACGTATCGTTCTTTTTCAACCAAGTGAAGAATAGCTCGAGCTATCCAGTCTTCTTTTACCAACAACTGTGGAAATAAATAGCATAGGCAATGTGGAGTTTCGAACCGAACGTTTTTAAGTACTCCGAAAACTTAATCGCTATAATTCATTCTCGAGTAAGGCCTAACTAAGATGTTTAAATAAAAAGAATAATATTGTCCTATTATCATGATTCCGTATTCTTTAAGGCGAGATTGTACGAAATAACCAATTTTTATTCTAAGGCTATGCTGTTATTTGCCAAATAAAAGTAGATTGTTTGTCAAAACCTTGAAATTATCATTCATTGTGATAAATGTGGAAGTATTAAAAAAAAAGAAAGCACTAAAAAGCACCTCACTTGATGGCAACTCCAAAAAAAGTTGATTTTTGCAGGAAACGAATGTACCAAAGATAGTCATTTCCGTTCCTTTTATCTAACATATCAAAAAACTGAAATTTTTCGAAACTTAGATATCAATATAAATACAAAAAAGTCCAAAAAGAATAAGAGTTGTTTATTTTTTTGAAAATTAGTTTACTTTTATACATGAAAGAAAACCGGAAGATTCCAATGTATTGAATATGCTTTTGCCTTTTGTATCGGTCTCTAAATTTCTAGTAAATAATAGTCCTCACATATTTTCTCGTCTTTAATAAACTTCGCGGAAGACAGCAAAAATGCTTCATTAGTTGGTTAAGTGGACTTATCGAGTTGAATTTAGAATTTACTTGTTCTCACGTAATCTCACAATTATCCTTCAATATTTTCAGCCATTTCATCAATTCCTCTTTTTGCTAATTTGTTTTTAAATTTCGATTTACTACTCGAAGGAATTTTTCGGATAATGTTTGCGGCCGGTTTATGAAGCACAGTAGTTATTACTTCCTTTATTGCTGGCAAAATAAACTCTTCTCCGATGTTATGTGGTTTGCCTTCTTAAGCAATTAACAAAGAGATATTGTACGAAGTTGGAGCTTCGTACAATCGTCGTCATATTGCTTAGCAGCCGCCGAAAATAGTTTTGCTACACTTGGCTGAGTATTATGCTTTTTCTCTAGGTTTTGTAAATACGCTACATTCTTTTCTTTCTTATCTGGATGCATTTTATTCAAATGGTCTTGCAGTCTTTAAGGCTTCATTGCTTCATTAGAATAGGTATTTAGACATATGAGAGTCGAGAGCTCATGCAGACGTCTAATGCTCATGTCTAAGAGGCCTCCTAGCTAAATGAAATTACAAATCACCCACCCCTAAGTCTCTACACAAAAAAATGGGGGTGCCATTTTTTTTCTCGGTCTCTTACCGCCTTCTTTTAAGCCTGCAGCGCTCACAAGGGGGCGTTATCGCCCAGTTTGGGAAAGGCTGCTCTAAATAATGTTTTTTTTGACGTCGAAATAGATTTTGATATAATCTAAAATCATCTATGGACTTTTTTTATAACTGAATTTGTTTTTATCTGTGAATAAAAATTTATGAAATAAAGCGAGTGCATCTTTACTCTCGATGCGTATTTATATGGGATATGGGACTGGAACCGGATGAATAAACTATTTTCTATCCTTACCATTTTGTCAAGAAGCTGGTGGGCGGTCTCGAATGAGTTTATTCCTACGTAGGGGGTCGCTATTGCGTCCGCTACGGTAGGCTGCAGGGGCAACACTACCGGATCGTTATTTTGTAAGGATTGGAAAAATGTCGGCACGGTTTCAGGCTGGACTCCCTAAAAACGAATATAAATAATTTATATATCTAGTGCAACATAGTATAAATTAAGTCGCTCTTTGTCTCTGATTTTTTTTACGTTTTAACAAGCTGAAGCAGCGGGCTCCATGTCGGGGCCCGGGTCCTCATTCCCGAAGGGTACTCGCAGAGAGTTTTAGTAAGAAGGCCGGCCTCGCTTAAGCCTGTCCTTTATAGGACGGGTCCGGGGTCGGAGGGCCCTGATTTAAGACTTAAGGTTGCATATCCCTTGCATTATAACAAACTCTATCACAGCCCCAGCTGTCTCGTCAGATAACAGAAGGTTACGCATTTCTTTCGCATAGTGCCTTACGCATTTTCCCTGGATCATAAAAAGGTTTAAACAAGCATGTAACTCTTAAGCTTCGATGGTTTTCGATGAGACATTTAATTTAATAAGGCAAATAGCTATTTACATTATTATATTTAATTATGTAGGTGATGAAATTATTACGAAAAAATCTAACATAAACCAGGCAGTTTGGTTTGTGATCCTTGATGACAGAAGCGACGGCAGCTGCCAGTCCACCAGTTCCCACAGGCACCAGCACAGCGTCTACGTTGGGTACCTGATCCAATATTTCCAGTGCCAGGGTACCGTAGCCAGCGAGGACATGTGGGTGGTCACGGCTAAATAGGCATAAACATATAGTATTAAGACTTAATAGGATAAATAACTTTTGCGTTTAGAATTTGATGCTTGATATTTAGATTAAGAGCAATTTAATGAGATGTCGCCTAATTGAAAGTTAAAAAAAAAACAGAAATAGGAACTGTACCACAATTACCCAAACCTCAGACAATATTGATAGAAAATATTGTTTGTATTATAAACACGATCAGAACTTTAATCTTAAATATGTGAAATGGCAAACTCTACAAAATTGCCTGACTATAGTTACATAGGATAGAAGCCAGTTTTCTACGGACTATCGTGTTTCTATAATTCTAAATTCTTACTCTAACATATAAAATGTTTACCCATTGATGAAGGTGAGGCCTTTATCACGAGCAATGGCTCTTGCGTATCTTTGGGATTCCATCAAATTGTTTCCTTGCACGAGTACCTTGGCACCTAAACTGTAGCATTTCTGTAGTTTCGCTATTGGGACATTGTGTGGCATCACCACAATGACCGGGACACTCAGTTTAGAAGCATGATAACAGAGAGCCGCTGCTTCGTTTCCTATGGAAGCTATAACGACACCAAGTTTCTTTTTATCCAAGGGAAGCAGTTGCAGAACATTTAAAGCTCCTCTATCTTTGAAACTGAAAAGATAATAACTGTATGGAGGTTGCTTTTTTGTAAAATTGATAAAGACGTTGAATCTTGCGGTCTTTTACCTGCCACTCGCTTGGAGCGATTCTAACTTGTAGTATAAATTCATGACAAAATCTCGTTGATGATGAGATGCCTGTGAATTTAATATACTTTAAAATATTGGAATGAAGTGTATTCATTAAATATTAATTGAACTTCACTTGTTTAAATTCGTTTGATCATATATGTACGGTGTACCGCACATTTTGTGCTGTTCGCAGCGCCTTTATGGTTGCCGCGGATTTGTATTATGAATATTGTAACCATTCGACTCGGTTGTAGCATTTTCGTCTCCTTATACTATTTCCTCAGAACATCCTCCTTATCATTCTATCAGCTATCAATCCTATCAATTATCATTGTTATCAGCTATCAATTAAATGTGTAGGGCTACCCCCTACAATATAGGTATTATTTCACGTGTAAAAGTGACTATAGATACTCTCATACTTACAACACATGGTGTGTTCAAGATATGTGGTTTTAATCTGGCGGCTGCGGCCTGAACGTCGGATTGTTTAATTGACTTTGGATTTTCAGGATCGCAAAACTCATCATAATCCTCCTAATATAAAAATATTACTGCTATAAGGTATTTCGTCAAAAGAATTATTTAAGGAATAGGATTAGAAATACAAACTTACGTTACGTCGTGCCATTATTCGGATTTATTTCGATTTAACTGTTTTTTTTTCAATGTAATGGGGAGACTGGGTGCTTATGGCTATTCTTGCTTTGTTTCAAAACTGATGCATATTTGGTTTATGATTAAGGGTTCTATGAAAATTTTAAACTATTATATATTTGTACACTATACAGTGGTCATGATTGTGTCAAAGAAGTTTCTCTATGACTATATCTAAGATGGTCCAAGAAGTTTAATGTAGTAAAAGAGGTACAAAGTTGTCAGTTAAATTCTCTTTGATCTTCTAATGTGTTATAATAACAAATCGATAAAAGTCTTTATTAAAGAGGGAAGCTCCGAAACTATTGGACCGCTTTTAATAATTCTGTCACCTACGGAAAGCTTAATCTTACGCGGGTAGCATAGGATATAAACTATGAGGGAAATCATTTAGTGCTTATATAAAAGTGTACGAGAAAAATAACTTTAAAAAAAAATGGTACCGACTTCACACTTTAAAAAAGTGATAAATAATACTTATCTCAAAACCGAATTATTCAAAAGTGCTATTGATGTATATGACTTTTTTGAAGTTTGAAGTCGGTTCTAACTTTTTGACAAAAGTTTTTATTTCATGATTTTTAGTGATATTAATATTTTTATATAACAGGTAACATTGAAAATTTTAAATAGCTGTATAAATTTTTTGTTTATTTGCTGGACTAACAAAAACGTCTAATCCAAGGGTAAATCCAAATAAACAAGCTTGTTTACTACAATAACATGAGCATAATACATTGTATTCAGTTTTGTTTTCTTTTTCTTACAAAATTATGAAGAAAGAGTCAATTTATCACTCCGATAACGAAATAATAATAACATATCTCATTATTCATAAATTATATCATCATTGGTATTACATAGTTTTATTTGGTACGCAATAATAAAAGCATTGCCAATGTGTTCAACAGTATTTAATGAATTAATATTAGCCAAACTTTTTAGGAAAACAGCTACATGTTGGTATAGGACTGAAAGGTTCTTCTATGAAGTCACATTTGCGGGGAAATAAGCGCTCCAGTACTCGTTTTAAAATGCATGCGTGCTCCAGGCCTTTTGTTTCTATTTCTAGTGTAAGCTAAAAATTAAATGAAACGTTTTTCAATGTTTTGTATATGGTTTTTGATTATTTGACGAAACATGAACTTTCGGAACTCACATATATTGTATAGAAGTCATTATCTGTCCAACCTCGATCAATGTAACTACGTAAGATATTACATCCAACATTGGCGATTATGCTGAGAATTTTCGACTGTTCTTTCATTCCATTTAATGGCAATGTTACCTGAACCGTACAAGTTGATTGTTATACAGTCTAAAGATAATTGCATTGCATAAAATTAACTAAATGTGCTATTTAACGACGAGTAATAGACTGCTTTCTGTATTTTACCGTCAGTTTTATCAGTCGACCTTCAACAGCTTTTGCTCGCTCCAAGGATTTTGGCAATGTGACCACATCAATGTTTCCTCCAGTGATTAAGCACACTACGCTAGAATCACAAGTTATAACTTTTATATAGAAAGATCTTAAGATTTGATTTGAGTACTACAATTATATATTGAATTTACTTTTTTTCTCGCAACTCCGGCAGTATATCGGGTACAGCTAAGAGGGCGCTCATACTGACCGCTCCAGCACCTTCTACTATGAAGTTTTCATTTTCCAGTAAGTGCAGAATGGCACGTGTTATCCAATCTTCGTCTACAAGAACCTTTGAAATAAAAAAATCAGGTAAATTGGTAAGTAGATCGGCTAAATTAGCGTTTTACAACCGATGGCTCTCGGAACGATGGGGGCACGAAGAATTCGCAGCACGGCAAATACACGCCTGGATTCACAATTTATTACGTCCCTTGCTTGATGTCCTAGGGATCCGTGGAATAAACAAGGTTAGGAAATGCAGGGCTAGATGGTTACATATTATTTTACTTTAAAATAACTTTGGCAGTAATATCTCATATTAAATGAATACGAGGGTCAAACTGAAAGTTCTTAGAAAATCAAAAACTGATTACATTAGCCAGTTATTAGTTTTATTATATCTTTTCAAAATATTGTCCATTCACGTCAATACACCGCTGCATGCGATGGAACCACTGGGAAAAGCACTTTGCCCACTCGTCCTTAGGGGTCTCTTCAATGGCATCGCGATACGCAGCCACCGCTTCTTCAGCATTCATAAACCGCTTTCCTTTAAGTTTTTCTTTAATTTTTGGAAATAAATAAAAATCACAAGGCGCGAGGTCGGGGCTATACGGCGGGTGACCCAGTAATTCAACGTTTGATGTCGCCAAATAGTCGATCGTTCGCTTGGCGGTGTGCGACGAGGCGTTGTCGTGGTGAAGGAGGATCCTACTGCGAGGTCGTTTCTCTCGAACTTTTTCCAAGACAAGTGGCAAACAATTGGTAGTGTACCATTCTGCAGAAACTGTTTTTTGATCCTCTAACACAATTGTTGCAAAATGACCTATCCTTCCAAAGAACGAGGCCACCATTTTTTTTCCCGCACTTCGATCTCTCTTCACTTTAGTTGGCAACTCCTCGAAAGGAAACACCCACTGAGCAGATTGTCTTTTGGTTTTAGGATCATAACAGTAAATCCAGCTTTCGTCACCTGTTAGTATGTCGAACACAGCATTTGAGTCACCTCCGTTAAATCTTTCAATCATTTTACGACACCAATCCACACGATGGAGTTTTTGAGCCTCAGTCAAATTATGAGGTATGCACCGGGCGCAAAGCTTCCTGACCGCTAAATGTTCGTGTAGGATTTTGTGCACTTGACTCATACCGATGCCTAAGCTTGTCCGAATCTGTTGATAGGTCACTCTTTTGTCAGTCTCTATCATACGCCGCACAACACAGATGTTATCTTCAGTCGTCGCCGTAGAAGGCCGTCCCTCACGTAAATCATCAGTGAGATTAGTGCGACCACGTTTAAACTCATTAAACCAGTTGTAAACAGTCGCACGAGATGGGGCTTCATCGTGAAAGGCCAATCGTAGTCTATCATAACTTTCTTGTTGACTTAAATGACATCGAAAGTCATAAAAAATCATTGCACGAAAATTTTCTCGTGTTAAATTCATGATGACGTGACACAGACAATTTTCAATTTGCCGCCAAATCGTAAAACAAATGACAAATGAATGAAATATATACTCAGTAATATTGGCAAAGAGTTATATTTTCAAATTTTAGAATTATTTTTTTATTATATTGTTTATAAGTGGCCAGTTCTAAGAACTTTCAGTTTGACCCTCGTACTAGTAATTTAACTTGAATACGAGTATGATGAATAAAATTTACTAACCATTTTATTTATCAAAGACTGTGCAGTGTGAAATGCATTGACACCAACTGTCGGGACAGCTAAAGATTCGGCCAGGCTATGTGAGACCGCGGTCTTATAAGGACGCTCATTTTCAATTGCTTTGAAAAAGGAACAACACTTGTCAGGTTCGATACCCTGTGCAAAATAAAAAAAAAAATTAAAGTTTACATCTAAGAAAGTTTTGCTTTATGCCTTGAAAACAAAATATGAATTATGTATTGAAAGTAAGTCTACACTACATAAATAAGAACGTCTGGTTTAAAATGTTTCACATAGGTGGCGATTCCAGCGATTAAACCTCCTCCGCCAACGGGAATGAGTATTGCATCAGTTTGAGGCAATTGCTCCAATATTTCAAGTCCGATAGTTCCCGCCCCGGCGATAGCGTGAGGGTGATCATAGCTGAAAAAAATAATGTGAAATGTTTGATTGTCAATATCTATTTATCAGGATATGGTATTTTTTTTTATTTCATTTTCTTATATTATTTAATTACCTATTTAAATAAGTTTTTCCAGTTTCTGCAAGTAAAGTAAATGCCCGATGTTTTGATTCCGCTAGCGAATCACCGTTCAAAATAACTGTAGCTTCATAGTATTGACATTTTTCCACAATACTCGATAAAGTGAATACTGGTAGAACTACAGTTACTGGTATATTTAGCTTATTGCCATAGTATGCTAGTGCCTGCGTGATAATTTCAAAGTAGGTAAAATGTATGTATGTGTTAATAAATTGTAGGTACTGACTAAAGCTGCATTAAGACGAGGTTCACTAACTAGAGGACAAAACAAGATTCTAGTAACAGTGATGCAACATAACCTGTATAATAGAACAGTAAGTTCCAACTAATAAGGCGCATGGTGAATTTTCATTCCGCAAAGTTATCTCAAAGCCGACCTACCAATTCCGACGATGACCGAACGCTCGATTAAAGTTTATAGTGAGTATTGTTTCAATAAATATAAGATATTATTTGCAAAGCATTAGGTGTCCGTCTCACTTACATCCAGCGGGGACCAGGTGCGTAGATATTGGTGGCGCGTGTGATATCTGAATCATTCTGATTGGCCAACATTTGCCGAGCTTTGAAATTTAGCCGCAGCTGCGCAGGTACATTAATGTGCTACATCAGCTGTATCTTACTTTATGAAGATGTTTACAGGAAAGACAAAGACAAGAATCCGTCGCACAATTATTATCCGTGTGTCATGTAATAACTCTCATGGGGATGCAGCTAAATATTGCAAAAAGTATAAGTAATTATAAAAGAAAAGGTGATACATACCATTGCCCAGTTTCCCAGCGATGCTGTTATTACACCAATTTTCTGTTGTTCTTCATTTAACATCATTAGAGAATAAAGAGCACCTCGTTCACTGAAACTATATTTTAAAGTTCTTAAGTTCATTCGTTCACACGAAACTAATTGTCGTTGTATGTGAACACAGGTACTGCATTTTCATACATTATAATTTTTCGTTCACACATCAATGATAATACAATACAATCGTTGGCGACGGCCGACTCTATATTTGGTGTGAATATACGCTTATATTCAAATTCACATATAAAAGAAAATGAGGAGTCTTAAAAATGTTAAAGGTGTACTTAAATCACACTGAAACTTTATTGATAAGGCCACCCAAGTAGCACATAAATAATATATTAACTAAAATAAGTACCGATTTATGTCCTAAAGTCATACTAACATTTTTAATCAGCACTGGTCAAGTTTCGAATCTGTTTAAAGGCATTTATTTTATCTAATAATGCTTAATGCCATATTATGGTTAATAAAAAAAAATATACCAATGTCAAAACTCCTATTTAAGTATTGGGTAATATTAATATAAAGCTGTTATCGTATTTCGGTGATATGAAGAACATTATATATTATATAAGCATTAACGTAATATTATTTAGTGCACTTAGTTGTATTTAGTCATTTTCTAGAAACGAAGGTTTTCTAATGGCCTATGGTTGTATCGATTTAATGCTTATCCTATATACACACATTGAATAAAGAACTAGTAAAACTTTAGCACAGATTTGTTCTTAAAGTATTCTTTAATCAAGCTCAAGCTCCTTTATCTTCTTAATCTATGCTTTTATAAAACATTAGGCTATATTTTGATCAATATTAAGTTATTTATAGAGATACAAGTAATAAATAGATCGTAATTATTTTTTATGTGAAATTAAAATGTAAAATTATTTTATGTATTGTATTGTAATGGTGGCATTTTATACGCATCGATGGCGCCATGGACAAAAAACGTTGGGAAAAACAAAGAAAACAGGTATATAAAAGATATAAAAGACAGGGATATAAAAGAAAACTGAAAAAAGAGTATACTAATTTAATTGAAACTTTTTAAATCAAAATAAAAATGAAATAATCGTTTGATGATTATAAGCACTATAAGATACTTCTGAAGTGTTAAAATACGTCTGTACCTAAAATGGGAGTGTGTTATACGATGAATTACGAGCTCTTAGTTTTGTGTCTAACCATAATACGATTAACAGCTCTACTACACTATATTTGAATACCTAATGCTTTAATTTTACGAGTCGCCATTTGCTTTCTTTTTCCAATTCTTACAAAATATTTAAAGTCAACAGTGTCAGATGAAAAGGGGTAAATAATCATTTATTTTGTGAACAGATGCCTATAAAAGCAATTATGTTGTTAAAACAATGCTAAAAAGCCTAAAATTCAACAAAAAATTTTGCTACTAGGTTAAATTTTCTATTATTTTTATTATATTAAAAGAAGTTTGCGAAGGCGCGTGTATTTTACACCATAAACTTGTATATTTTACTCCACAAACTGATGTTTGCAGCTTATTTCACACATAACGAGCTGTTTAAATCAATATTAAATAATACTTAAAAGACCAGCCAAGAGAATATGTCATGACACTTACACAAAACAATAACTTAAACCGATTATATATTTTTAAAATCTATTAAATATACTTTTTTTACAAAAGAAATAAAACAGTTAGCATTTTTATAATATTAAATTAACATATTATAATTTTGATTTACGCATATCAATTGTAATATAGTCACAAAAAGTTCAATTAGCACTTTAAGGTGCTAATTGAACTTTTTGTGGCTGTTAGAATGCTTTTACCCGACTTTATTAATGCTATTATACAAAAGTTGTAGTGCTATTGCACAGCTTTTATAAAGCTTAAAGTCGTACAAAGGGGGGGTCCAAATTTTACGTATAAGAGTCGTTTAAAAGAAATACGATTGATATACGATTTTATTATAATGCTTAACGCTTGGACTCGTGCTATCATAAGTTTGATATAATGGTGTTTTGTGCTACTTGGGCAGTAAAGCAGCCGGTGGAAAATTGATTTGACTCGGGAACTCTTTGGAAATCTAATGAATTCATATTGTTTCTTATTTGCGTCGAAACGGATTTGATTAAATAATTTTTTCACTCGATGATTTATTACGACTTTAAATAGTTTCTTTGCTTAAACACCGTGTCCATTGGTGGGTTGATCGATGGCGTAATACTTGAATGAATTATTCTTATTTGCCGCATTTGCCGCGTTTGGAAATTGAGCCTTCTTAGTATGAATCAGTCACATCACTAATATTTTACTGTCAGGTGTATTACTAACGGCGACAGAAATTTCCTGGGTTTGAGTATATATTAGTGTAGTCTTGACTATATGGTTTTAATTTCAACTAAATTCTCATTTCGGAAATAAAGAATCTTGATGTGTTTTTATAAAGTTTCCGTTTTTTTTGCCTGTGAGGTAAGGATAGACAGTTAGATGAAACAACGCGCCGTTGCGATCCCTAACAGTATACCTATTACTCACAATATAGTTTATTTCAAACTATAATAATATAATCAATAGAAGTTTAAATGATGTACCAATACCTTCCTGTCCGATGAAATATTTCAAATTTGTAATATAAATCCATATTCAATGTTTTGGTATGTCGAGATTTCTGTAAAGCATATGAAGAGTGGTTCCTGAGAAAAGTTTTCTTTGAGTCAGATGCGTAAAATTATCTTATTACAAGTTAAAAATTAAATATAGTGCGGATATAACGCTAGGAACACTTTTCTCAGGAATCACCTTTAAAAAAGAATGTGAACAATATTAAGCAATATTTTTTTTTATAATATTAACTTAATCTTATCATTTCCCTAGCTTGATAGCAGTTCACTTGGCTATTCTCGTCAGTTCAAATTAAATGCAAATTTTATTTAAAAAGACAATCAACACCTTAGTCTTATCTAAACACGGAACATGTAAAGGGTCCTAAACGACAATAAAACTAAAAACAAACGTTAAGAAACCGTTTGTACAACTTTGTTTGAAAAAATTGCATCAATATCATTATCCCATTGAAGATATGATTTATGGTGATTGACGATGATATTAATTATATATTTTTTAGGATAATAATAGAATAAACATCTTTAGTCTCATTTCCAGTATTTTAACAAAGAAGATAACCATAAGGGGCGTTTTCGGTATTTCTTCTTTGATGGCCACTGCTGCTTTGATGACATCCTTATACGTTATTGTTTTAGGATTATCTGGGTCACACCAGCTATCGAATTCGATGTCCGATTTCTATAATATTTAATTTAAGGGTTAACTGTGACATACATATAAGATCAAGAATAATTTTCATCCATTTTAAAAATGTTTTACTTTATTGTACGTAGAATGTTGTTGAGAAGAATTTTTTGAAAATTTACATGATATGATTGAAACTAGACAGTTTACCTAGCCTATTAACATCATACGAAGCCTATGCATGTGAGTTTGCTTGCTAGATATAAAATAATTTTTCATAACGTAATGCAGCACGGAGCTTTCTAACCACTTCTAAAAATGTGCTGTTCTTATATGAAATTGTTTTATTATTTCTCTACTTATAGTTAGTATATGTACATACGCACCTGACACCACTGATTTTGTTTAACTAATTCACGTTTGGCTAATAAAGCCGGGGATGGGCCCAGTGGCTCCTTTGACTCCATAAATCCTAATATGTTTGTATATGTGAGACATCTACGGTTACATTGTGTATATAAAGTCCGTTATAGTTGATATAAAACTTTTTGAGAATTCAATGGTACAGTTTGCGAGAAAACATGGTTTAAAAAAGATATTTTTCAAATTATGGTTTATTATTATTTATATAATTACTAGTGTAGCAAAGAGTAAAGTTATACATTTTAATGACTTAAATGTATTCCAAAAAAGAGTAAAGTATACGAGTATAATGACCTTAGAACATAGATTTATTATAAATATTGGATATTTCATCTGAGCCTAACTTCGATTAACAATACAACAGCCGACCAACACCGTGAAGTCTGCAAAGATCCTAAATCTTCTGCGCTTCTAGGTGAGTTGGGTAGGAGCCAATTGTATCGAGTCATTTTAATGTACTCACAAAGGACTAATAAAGGTCTATACAATTATCTATTAATTACAAGTGAAAAAACTGCCAAACTCCCAATTGATTTAAAATTATTCATTTTTAATCTTCGATCGATAGTACATATTGTGATAACCTAACACACGCCCTGTGTATGTACAATATTCTCTACGGCGATCTCTTTCCACTGATTCACAGGCGAAGCTTAATACTCACACGACACAATCGTTCAGAAAATTAAACACTGAAGCTCGGAACATCGCAGAGGCTACCTGGCTAACGGTTAGTTGCGCAAACATCCATTAAGGTTTAAACACGTCTTTGAGCTCTACTGAATATCATTTTGAATGAGTAATATCGCTTAAAACTAATTAAAATTTTAATGGCCGTTAATGGCAACTGGCTGTAAAAGAGCTACTAAACTCTGGCGGCGAGCCATATTGTCGTAAACATTATAAAAAAAAACACGGACTCGTTTTTTATAACTTTTATTTTGATATAAATTTGATTAAGCAGTGAATAACTTGTATAATTTTTACGACTCTTTAACTATGATTTCTCGTTCGGTGTGTTGTGTTATTTTTGCATACAGACGGGATTGGGGGCGAGACAAGGTCCACGTCGAGTATTCGCTATTTTGTCAGTACGTTCGCTCATATCGTGGAAGAAGTACTCCTTGAAGTTTTTCTTTATCAGTTCCATTAACTCCTTGGTGTGATCCCAACCTCTCGTTTCACAAATTACTTTTAACTAAAAAAAAAAAACCATTTATATAACTAAGCTCGAACCTATTTCATTTTTCTATATCTGTTACGTAGTAGTAGTGGGACTACTTGGTAAAAAATAATAAGTTATATAATTAATATTGTTGGATAAGTATTGTGCTGCGTTATCAATGTAATAATAACTGACCTTTATGTATTATATGTTTTCCGATGACAGTGATATAATGAAATGTTTGATATATATTTCTTGATCGGTTAAATTCGTAAACACGAAACGAGTAAAACGTGTCTCTATTATTTACAGTAACGAATACATATAAACATTGTACTTTACTGCATATTCTCTTTAGTCACAAATTTTATGAGGTAAGTATTAAAGCTGAGCTTTAGTATCGGCGATTGTGTTGATTTTGTTTTCATACACACCGATTCTACATAGGTTTGATTTTCCAAAGAATCAAGGTGTGGAGTTTATTAGTTTCCGAGATACAAGTTTTTGAAAATACGTAAAATTTAACTTTTGTTTGATGTTCTATCAACTTCGACAAATGTTTTTGTCTTAAACACTAGATAGAGGGCATACAGACCGAATTTTTATATTATAAACACAAAAAATCATCAAATAAACGAAGTTATTATGGCCCAGTAGGTCACGTGATAAGTTAGAAGGTTCGAGGTTATTTTTTAACAGATAACAAAATAATAGAAGTTGATTTCGCCCTGTAGGTCACGTGATAAGTTAAGATTAGAAATTTAACTTGAATTTCGAAGTGATTTTAAACAGATAAAAATAAAAGTATTTTGTTTTCCTACTTTCGTATATCACAGCCATATAAAATTTTAATATCTATAAAATAAGGTCTAAATTTTAATTATCTGGATGATATTAGTAATAAAAAAAAAACCTTTTTTTTCTTAACTATGTTTCTCCGCGCCTTGACGTGTGGTCGGGAGTGTGTGTGTTCCCATAATATTTTGGATGTCAATCAAAAACTTAATTTTTATAGCAACATGGTCTGCTATAGATTATGAATACCTAATTGTTAATAAATTATCTGAGAGAAGAAATTTTTATAATTAATAAACTAGTTCCTTTGGAGATAACAATAGTAACATTTCCTTATTTGAAAAATTGAAACAGTTGAGTTGGTAAAAAAACTTTACTAACTAGATAATAACTTGTATTTACATTATTATTACTACATAGAAATTACTATCTTTTAGATGTTTTAATAACAGACTGAGAAGCCTCATACGATAATGGCAGTATAGCACTATTTTTCTTTCATTTGTAGTGTTTTATATTTGTTTTTCTGATTTTTGCCAATTATCATAGTTGATGTATTACAACACTACAGTTGTTGTATGCATGTGCAGCAGTGCAGTGCTGTCCTGCGATACTGTAAAAATCCAGACGCGAATTAGAATTTACTCATGTGTCCGAAGTGCAAGTTATTCCATTTTATGTATAAAATTACGTGTCTTTTTATGTATAAAATTACGTGTCTCAGATATTTTATTCCTATGCCATTTCAAAACTTAAACGAAACGTTTTTACCAATTCGAAATTGAGCTGATGCCGCTTTTTGAAGTGAACCCGGACACCTGAGTGAATTCGAATTCTGGTTTGGATTTCTATAGAATCGCAGGGCAGTCGTGGAGTACAGCACCAACACATAAATCCATAGACAATGTGATGATTACCTCAACACTGAACACATCGCCTTTAACCCACGCGCGTTCGGGCACGCAGTCCCTTAACGTGACATTGATGCTGGCAAGAAGCGAGCACAGGTCGGCCATGCCCCCGGGCCGGTCATTCACTGTTACTTTGAACTTCACCAGTCGTCCCTCTGCCGACATGCCTCGCTCTAATGCTCGCGCCAGCACAGTGGTGCTTATGTTACCTCCGCCCAAAATACACACCACCCTGCGATCATCAAATGTATGAATAATATAGGATAATACAATAAAGTGTATTATCCTATATTATTTTGGTCGGTTCCGGCTGTGCGGTACACGTACCACACAACTAATACGTGACGTTATTCTGGCTTTTAATATTATAACCGTTTTAGAAGTGCAATATAATATATAAGTGAAATCAAAGGTTTTGATTGTTTGGTATTTGGCATTTTTTTCACTATTTGTATTCAGCTGAATTATTCAGTTTTCGTGCCGAATTAGTTCAGTTTGAGTATTTCTATATTCTTGACTAAAAGACACCGTATAGAACTAAAAGATAAAACTTTTTATGGAAGATTTAAAGAAATCCTGCAGAGAATATGTTCGAGAAATGAGACTTCAAACCATAAATATTTATTTTATAAACTATGGCCACAATGAAAACATAATAGAGATCAGAAATGAAATAAAAGTTAAGCAAAAATCAATATATCCTACATATTTTAATATTTATAACCAATTGTAAATTATGGTGCACAAATTGTCCAGAGTCTGTTGGGTTTTCTTCATATAGGTACAAAGTAATTTACAAGGAGCTCTTAGAAACGCTTTGATTGAATAAAAGTAATGAAACGGTAAACCGAATAATTCAGCCGAATTTCAGATTCGGTAAAAGTTAAACTGAATACTATTCGGTTATTCGGTGAAACCACTAGTCTGCGCATCTCTAGTTATTATCATAGTTTTCTTATATATAGCTTACTTTTTCCCCTTAAGGTTAGGGAAGAGCCCCGCCATTATAGCTGCTATAGATACTGCTCCAGCACCCTCTACTACATATCTTTCATCTTCTATTAAATGTAGTATTGCACGGGTTACCCAGTCTTCTTTGACTACAATCTGAAATTATTAACAATATTTAATACTATTTTGAGTAGTTTTGAAATCATCATCAGCCGGAAGACGTCCACTGCTGAACATAGGCCTCCCCCTTTGAACGCCACGACGGACGACATTGCGCCAGCTGCATCCAGCGGCCGCCCGCGACTCGGACGATGTCGTCCGTAGTTTTGAAATGAGATGTTAGAATTCTTATAATATTAATAATGTCTACCTATGTTAACCTGCATATTAATAACGTGTTAATTTTAACATTACTTATACAAGCAAATTCTTAATTATTTGCTTTACTTTTCACGTTGATGGTATGGCATGGTGGTGTCTATTAGTTATATTGCAGACGAAAATAATAAAGGTATAATTAACATTAGGTAAGTTATTGGAAATTCTTACCATTTTATCAACAACTCCTTTAACATTATGGAATGTGTTAACACCGGCTATATTAACCGCAAGTCCATCGGCTATTGTTGATTCGATATTCAAAAAGATACGTTCATTTTTTCTTAGAGCTTCCACCATACTGCACGTTTTGTCGGTCTGGATTCCCTGCTCGAAAATATGTTTATTTTGATATTTATCAGTATTATTATTATTATCCGAGTTTGTATTGCTAGGACTAGCCGGATTTACGGGTCCATACTAAGTTATTTTTTATTTTTTTTAGGTTTATTTTCAGGTTCTTTTTATTATTATCATCGAAGTACTTAACATGATAAACAGTTACCTCACGTTATGGATATTCCATTGCAAAGCAATTATTTTTTTCATCTTAAATATTTTGCTTGTACCAGTTTCAATTATAATACTTTTGAATTGGGTTGATTTATTTTAAATTTTATACACACTTACATAAATTTCGGTATCAGGCTTTAAATGTTTTACAGCGACCGCCACGCCAGCTATAAGACTGCCACCGCCCACTGGAATCAGTATCGCATCGACAGCAGGTACTTGCTCTATTATTTCTATTCCAATAGAACCTTGTCCTTCTATGATATTCGGATGATCGTACCTTTAAATACAGAACTGTATGAGTGTAGTATGTTCGTAAGGTTTATTGTTGGTACTACTTATTATTTTGTGTTAGGTTCCCACATCGAAACTTTTTGTCTTTGACCTATAATATCATTTCTTTTTTATTACTAATTTTTCGTTATTTTGAGGAACGCGATATGCTTTCCGTGTTAGTTCGTGAAAATTCTACCGGC